ATATATATATATATATATATATATATATATATATATATATATATATATGTATATATATATATATATATAATTGTTCTATTCTGTCTCCTTTTGTCTCCTCTGTGTCTCCCCTCTGTCTCCTTTACTGTCTCCTTTTTGTCTCCTTTTCTGTCTCTTTTAGTGTTTTTCTTTGTTTTTTTATGTGTCTCCTCTCTATCTCCTCTCTATGTCCTTTCTGTCTCCTTCCTGTCTCCTTTCTGTCTCCTTCCTGTCTCCTTTCTATATCCTTTAGTGTCTCCTTTTTGTCTCCTTTAGTGTCTCCTTTCTGTCTCCTTTCTGTCTCCTTTCTGTCTCCTTTCTATCTCCTTTCTTTCTATCTCCTTTCTCTCTATACCCTTTCCTGTCTCCTTTCTATCTCCTTTAGTGTCTCCTTTCTATCTCCTTTCTATTTCCTTTCTATCTCCTTTCTCTCTGTCTCCTTTCTATCTCTTTTTTATCTCCTTAGTGTCTCCTTTCTCTCTATCCCCTTTCTCTCAGTCTCCTTTCTATCTCCTTTCTATCTCCTTTAGTGTCTCCTTTCTATTTCCCTTTCCTGTCTCCTTTCTATCTCCTTTGTTGTCTCCTTTTTATCTCCTTTCTCTCTTTATCCTTTCTATCTCCTTTCTTTCTATCTCCTTTCTATCTGTCTCCTTTCTGTCTCCTTTAGTGTCTCCTTTTTATTTATTTATTTATTTATTTATTTATTTATTTATTTTATTTTTACTTGGGTAGAAACATGGAGGCATCAAAGGAGACACTGAAGGCCTCCTGGGCGGCCTCTCGCAGCTGCTGAGGAGACAGCTCCTGCTGTCCCCTTGCTGCAACAAAAACACCACAAACCCTAAACCCTAAACCCTAAACCCTAAACCCCAAACCCTAAACCCTAAACCCTAAACCCTATACGTACCCCAGGGGCATATGGGTACGAGAGAAAGAGGACCAGCAACAACCCTAAACCCTAAACCCTAAACCCCAAACCCTAAACCCCAAACCCCAAACCCTAAACCCTAAACCTCC